GGGAACCGTCAAATCCCCAGATTCTTCGGCCCTGATAAAAAACCAGATAAAATCCAAACGAGAAAGTATGCTTATTTTTATTACCATATCGGACCCGTCTCGAAACCAAAATACTTACCCGTCAAAATCCCGTTCCAGTGAGCCCAGACAAAAACCATACGGTCCCCGTCTGTCAATGTTGGCTCGCAATATACGAATAAAAAACTTGGAGTGAAAAATAAAAACTCACTTTGGTTCAATGGGTATCTGACAAACCGAGAGCAATTTTTATATTATGATCATAATAACACAATTCCATATTCCATAACTTGCGGGGTTCCTCAGAGCCTAATTTTAGGACTACTTTTATTTCTATTGTACATAAATGACTTATACTTAGCAACAACTTATACTTAGCAATAAATCTTTTAGACCTATTTTTGTCTGCAGATGATTCTAATATTTTTTATTTTCAGAGGTATTAAAAAGTTTTTAATATAGTTAATAAACAGTTAATTAATGGTTCGTAAGTAACAAAGTTTTATTAAATATGGATAAAACAAAATATATAATTTTCCATAAAGTGAATAAATCAGAAAATATTCCTCTAATAAAACCGAATCTTAAAATTAATAATACTTAAATTAAAAGGGAAACATACGTAAACGTTTTGGTAGTAAAACTGGATGAAAATTTTCTGTTGAATTCACATATAAATAGTATTGAAACAATACTCTCAAAAAATATCGCAATGATGTTTAAGCCTAAGCCTTTTCTAAATGTAGCATCCCTGAAAAAATTGTATTTTGCCTTTATTCACAGTTATTTGTCTTACTGTAATATTGTGTGGGCTAGTACCAGTGGCGGATTGAGGTTTATTGTCGCGGGGGGGGGGGGGGGGCATTACAATAATTATGGGGCGACCGGGGTTGGGTGTGGTAATTCAAACCCCAGAAATATTTTTCATGACTAAAACACTTTATAAGTGTTTTTATGTGAGTTTTATTATACATATTATGACTTTTATTATACATACATATGACACTAAATAACCTAATTTTTTTTAGTTTCTTGTTTTAGTTAACAATTATCTTTTATAAACTATAAAATATTTATTATTACTGAAATTGTTCGGTCATTTAAAAATGTATTTAACTAGACGTATTGCAAAAGTTAGCATTTAGAAAAAAAAATCACTTGTTCGGTTTACACCAATTCTGCGAGATTTCATTGAAGCAAAACGATTTATCGACAAGTCAAAGTTAATGTTTTCAGTAAGCTCACATTCAATTGAAATTAATGCTGATCCAGAAAGACATTTGTTTGTCATTCTTTAGTTAACTGAAACTTTTTTCAGCATTAGCAGATGTAACAGGAAGAGTCAAGTAGATTTTGTAAAGTATAGACAAGTTTGGAAGACCGGGTGCTATCTGTTTCTCAATCAAGAACTGAAATGCATCTTTCAATTGAACGTCAGTTGTCAGTGATGGAGATATCGATGCATACACATTATTGAAAGTCTCATACTCTACGACTGCTTCTTCAGAATTTACATCGTTACAATAAATTTGACATTTTTTCATGAATTTATATTTTCTTCAGATTATTTTGACGGACCAAGGCAATCAAAATGTGTAACTGTGTTACTAAAATCATGAAATCGTTTATGTATTTGGGTTATAGTTTTAGTCGTGTAGTTGGATCACATTTTAGTTGTGTAGTTGGATCATCAACTCTTTCATCTCTCCACAGCTTTCCTGCCATGCGTTTCTTTTTGACATGGTGTTAGGTTAACTCAATTTAAAGAAAAACGATTTTCTTTAAATTCAGTTTCTACATCTAGTTCGGCACATTTTTCACTAATAAATGATTTGACTGCTAAATGTAGAACTTGAAAAGCTTCATCGTTTCTCATATATACAAACTTATTTTTTGTAAAACCAATCAACTGTTTTGCAAGTAAATCATCTATATCTTCTCGTTGCAAATAGTTAGATAACACAAAAAGATTAATTAACAACTTTGGCAAAAATAACATCAGAAAAACAAAAGAACGTTTTTTTTATTAAAACTGATAGTCCAATAGCTTCTGCTCTAACATTACCTGTCTTTAGATTCTCCTAGATTTATATCTTCTAGAGTGGCAAGATTAGCAGAAAAAGGATTCAACATTAACATCAATTCATGCTTCCTACTTGCTCATCTTTTATCAGAAAGTCGTTTCAGAGTGTCTACTGTTGATTCGTATAGAAGTTTCTGGTGCTCATGGAAAATATGAAGTTATGGTAAACTAGACGTAAGGTACGTATAAATTTTTTCAGCTGTGCCTAAAAACATCTGGACAACGCTGTTTACAGACATTGCTTCGGTGGTCACCAAATTTATAACATAAGCATAACAATGAACATAGATGGCATTTAGTGAAAGCGCTTTTATTTGAGTTTGAAGACCACTTTTAATTCCAAACATTTCATAAGCACCATCATATGCTTGTCCTCTGCCGAGTTTATTATCAATGTTTCTTATTTCAGACTTTAATATCAATGTTTCGAAAGAAAATATTTTAAAACCTCTCATTTAAAATAATTCCTCTTTCTCTCTTTCCATTTGTACTTATTTTTATTCTTTTCATTTTTTTCTTCGTTGGTAATTTTAATTTATAATTTTTCTCTTTGTGAATGTTTTAAGGGACGCCGTTTGATCATTCTAGGGGGCGTAGGGGGGCAGCTTGCACCCCCCTCCCCCGCGTTCTATACTAAATCCACCACAGGCTAGTATTGGCCATACAAAACTTAAGAAAATCTACAAAAAACAAAAACATGCATACAGAATAGTGTTTGGAGCCTAGAGAAATACTCCTTTCGAACCACTTTTACGTGCGCTCGGTGCTTTTGTATAAACTCAATTTGCACCAAGTTTTACTATTTATGTTTAAAACAAAAATAGGATTTTTCAGCCAAAATTTTTCCAACTTATTTTAATAAAATTAATCATAAATATGCAACAAAATTTCAGATAATAACTTTGTTTTTCTCAAATAACATATCGGACTATATCTATGGAAAAAAATCCCAGAGGTTGTCAACAAAAATAAAACTACATAGGAACAATTTAAAAGTGAATCAAAAAGATTATTAGTGTTCAGGGATCTTCATTTATCCGACTTTAAATGTTGTTGACGTAATTAATGGACAACCCCTTTGTATGTGACGGTTTGTAGAATTTTTTTTTTTTTTTTGTATATGGGGCTTGACGATTAGGCAAACTGTGCCTTCTTCTTGCTCCAGCCATAAACGTCGATATATGTATATGCAATGTAAACATTTTTTAATGGCGAAATAAATTACAAAAAAAAAAAAAAAAAAAAAAAAAAAATACAAAAGTAGTTTTTTTTTTTTTTTTACAACAACATCGCATGCGCAAACGTTCGCCTGCAAAAACTCTCGTCTGCTCAATTTTGCAATAAACCGTTTTATTGCAAAATCGCTAACCTTTTTATGGATTCTTTGAAAAAAGGCTTGCCACAACTGGCAGCCTGCCAAGCGTCTAATATTGCAAATTGCCTTAAACATGAACTTGGTTTAAACATGTACTTAAGGCATGCATTTGAAGTATTCAAGACCTGCATTTAAATATGAATAAATTTAAATAAATAAGTTATGAATTTTTAAGTAACGTCAAATGTTTGGTCACAGTTTAAGAACTTTCAGGTTTTGTAAAAAAATTTATCTCCTGAATACTAATGCATAAACATAAAAAATTACTTTTTTAAATTTCATCCAACATAGCTTCTCATAAGGTGTCCTAACCTTGAATTTACTGTTAATTTTAATTTTTCTTATGGTATGACCACTCCAAAGGTCTCAATGAGTCCAAAGGTCTCAACGAGTCCAAAGGTCTCAACGAGTCCAAAAGTCATTTTTTAGTTTCGTTTTGCTTTTAGTATGAAGAGTTATTTCATAATGCAAAATATATATTCTTATTTTTTGTGTTTATATCACAAAGCACAAAAATAATGATAAAATATGATAAGTTGGCCTAAGAATATTGCGATGCTTCTTTTCATTTGATTTTTTTAATTTTTATAGTTCCAATAATAAAAAAATAATAAATCTAAACTGTTATTTGACTAATTATTAGTCAATATAATTTTATTTAATTTTATTAGTCATTATTTTATTAGTTACTAATAAAATAACAAAAATATGGTTTGGATAATGGAAATAATCTTTTAAATCCTTTTAGGGTAGTGCTTAAATTGTCTAATTATTTAAAAGATAATAATAGTAATAGTTTACATAATAAAATGGTTGTATAAATATAAAGTAATATAATGGTTAGCATAATGGAAATTATTTTTAGATGAATAATAGTAATACAATGGTTTGCATAATAGAAATGCGACCCTTTAAAATTTTAAACCCTTTTAGTGAAGTAATGAAATTGTTTAATTTAAATAATGAAAATAGTTATATAAAGATTTGTGCATCTTATAAATAACAATGTTACACACTAAAAAAATAAAAGAAATAAGTAGTAAGTAGGGTATTTCACATATCCTACCTCTAGGATATATCACTTACCCTTTAAGGTAAAGTATTATACTATTTAAGGCTGATCATTATACCTTTAAGGTAGCAAATAACACTACATATGGCCATTTTTAGTATAATTTTTAACCTTGAAGGTATAATTTTTTACCATAAAGCGGACGATATGTGATATACCTTGAAGGATAAAAAAATTTTTTACATTGTAGTTTTACCTTATAAAAAACAATTTTAGTTATAAGTTGAAAAAAAAAAATAGTGCACTATATTAAAAACAATGTTAGTTGGGAGGTCTTTTTTGCAACCCTCTAATAGCTAGTTAATGCTAGGAATGATATTATCAAAATAAACTTTTTTGGTTAGAAAAAGTTTAAAAAAAGATATTTGTAGTTTTTTATTAAAAAATATTTTTGTGCAGTAAAATTTAAAAAAATGTTTAACTTTTAAATGACTTTCTTAACATTTTTTCAGGCAAACTAAGTTATGATTTGGAAAGTTTTAGGAAGTCTTTTATTGTTGAAGTATGGAATTACGCTGAGCCAGTTTTTGTGGTTAATGTGTCGATTATATGTGTTTCCAAAATGGGGTTTTAAAATTGATTTAAAAAAACTTGGAAAATGGGCAGGTAAAAACTAATTACAATTTTAAAATTATTTTTATATGTCATTGTTATTTTTCATGAAAATGAGTTCTTGAATTCTTACACATTCTTTTAGAAAAAGAATTTTAATATCTAAGTATTGAACATTATTTAAAATTTGGCTAAGGTGAGGGTCATTAATGAAGTAACGGTATAGTCTTATGGATTAGGTCAAGGTTGTCATGTTATCACCTTATTCAAAATGGTAGAAGCTGTAAATTGTTCTGAAAATGTAAATATTAAAAAAACCTTTGAAAAACTTGTTTAAATTATTTTTTTTCATTCGAGTTTAATTAACAATGTAATCATTACTTACCCAGTTTTTATTTCTATTTTTATTTGAGTTTTAAAAACAATGTAAACATTTTTTATGCTGATTTTTATTTCTAAGTACCTAATTGAGCTTCAGTAAATAATAAATTGTTGTTAACTTGTAAGTAACTCTTTTAGCAAAATGTTTTAAGCATTGTTGAATGGATAGTTTGTGATATCATTGTATGTTTATATCGTATGTTTGTTTATAAGCACGTCAAAATTAAGCAATAACAAAAAATAAACAACAAATTCTGTACAAAAGTTATTTATACTTTATTATAAACAGTTTGGTGGTTAATTTATGTAAAAAAGTTGTAGAATTCAAATTTAAAAGTCAAAAAAAGCAAAGGAATGATTAAGATAAATCTTTACATTACTATACGTTATGTTGCTATTTAAGCAATTTTAAACACAAGAGGTTTTTAGCATTTTTATTATCAATTCTTAACAACATGTTGGTTCTTTTATATATGCTCCTTTGCGTGATCTCTTAACTCTTGAATAATCATTTCTTCACGTTACACAATCTTTTTTTTAAATACAATAATCACATAATCGCTTTAATAATCACTTCCTTATATGATGCAATTTTTTTTAACTCCTTCATAACCACTTTTTTACATGACACAATCTTCCTAGCTCTCGTACAGCTAACCTTACCGCTTTCTTTTTTTTTTTAATTTATTATTTAGTTGCCCCAAGAGGACCTAATAGTCTTGTCACAGAGCATGTTTGTTTATCATTGCCCTATAGCTAAATACCATATTTACTTTTTTTTTTTTATTGTAAAATAGGTTTGTCTCAACTGGTTACTTTCTTATGAAATAAAAATATAAAGTTTCAATTCGAATTGTTACATCTTAATTGGCTTTTATTTTTATTTTATAAAAGTGTAACCAATTGAGACATAACCTGACGTTAAAAAAAAGCACAGTTAAAATAAGTCTCAAATGCAGATTTTTTTTAATGTTGTAATGTAATTAGCTACACTTTTAAAAGTTTCAAAAAAACATAATGTAGTATAAAATAAAAACTATATTTGTAACATATTAAGTTATGTCTCAAATTTAAAACATCAATTCACAATGTTACATCTCAATTGACTTTTCTTTTTAACTTTTAAAAGCGTAACCAGTTAAGACATAATGTAATGTAAAAAAAAGGCGCGATTAAAATAAGTCTTATAAGCAGAATTCTTTTATTTTACGTTATGTCTCATTGGTAGTATTTACGTTACGTCTCAATTGGTTACTCTCTAGTCCTTAATACAAGGGGTGGGAATGAAAGGAGAGTGAGTGGGAGTTTTAGTCCAGGTCTGACTAATGGGCTTGGGGTTAAAAAAAGGGGTGGGGGTAATTTATAAGAATTTTCTTTTTTTTGTCTTGAGATTTAATTTTTCTGTTGATAGCAAGTAAAACTTAACAATGTGTGTGTGTGGGGGGGGGGGTCTTGTTAAGCCTAGGGCAGGTGGAAAAATTTTCCAAAAATTGTCTTTTAATTTTTTTTTTTTTTTTGTATAAAACAAAATGAAATGTTCAGTTTCAATTGGTAAATTAAGATGATCATTGAGAACCTCCCTAGCAACAATGAACAAATGTTCTGATGGTACAGTTGTTGGTGGGGCACCTAAATAAAAAAGAGCTACTGTTGCCTGAACTGGCAATTGTTGCATGTTGTCACTCTACCACTGTAGTGGATCAGCGTGTCTATTTATTTCAGGTTCTGCCAGATACTGGCTTAGCTGTCGATACCTGTTGGTAATTGTTGTTCATGTGTTGTACCACCAGCAGATATAGACTGAACAATTTCATCAATACATTTCCAGAGTAATGGTGATGATATAGAAGAATTATCCAGCTGGGCTTGTTTTGCTGGAATTTCTTCAATTTTGTCAATCTGCTGCTCAGCATGCCCAGATTGATTTCCATCTTGTATTGATACCCTCTGCACTGTAACTTTATTGAATGCAAGCAAAACCACTGTTTTTGCAGCTGTCAGTGCTGTAACAAAAAGAATTTACTTTTAAATTGTGGATCAACCAGTGTTGCCACTGTATAAAAAGGTTTCTCCTCAATGCCTTTAAAATGCTCGTCCAATGATTTGAGTAAGGTTGACTTCATAGTCCTTACACCTGCATAATTGCCTTCCTTATTCAACAGGTTCTGACCAGTGGTATGTGTGTTGTTTCATTGCTAACTTCACAAGTAGCCTCTTCAAACGGAGCCAGCCCACATGCCACATTCTCAGCTACAAACCATTGATATACATTTAGGCCGGAAGTTCCATCAACTTCTAAACAGTAGACAGTTTATGCACAACGCTGTTTACATAGTTGAGGCAGCATGTGAAACGTTGAGTTCCATCTTGTACCCATGTCTTGTATCAGCTGGTGGTCTGGTAATCAAAGTTTAGCCTGCAGCTCCTTGAACCAATCAGTCGCACAGGAAGAATTCCTAAAATGATCAACAAATATTTTTCCAGTACTTATTCTATCTGATACTACCCAGTGGCTAAGCAAGCCATCATGCACACATAACAGAGTTGAATGTGCAAAGCACTTAAGACTTTCTACGTTTGCATCATGAAAACTTTTAGATATGTTTGCTGCACTGTCTCAAAGTATGACATGACAGCGTCCAACATCAATGTTCCATTTCTGCTGAAAGACAGTCAAGTATCTGCTGAAAGACAGTCATTAGTGCAGGGGCAGTATTTTTTCTTTTTTTCCAGTTGTCCTGCAAGCGATGGAAACCAATTTCACTGTCGTAAAATGTCATCATTTATGAAAACAAAACAATTTTTTATTTTTTAGTAATGTTTTTTATAAAAAATATATTCAACTGTCAATAAAACTCTAAAAAAAACACATCAGTAACTTGGACTTTAGTTAAAAGCGTTTCGCTAATATAAATACATTTTTTAAAAGTTTTGATGTAATTTATTTCACTCAAGGTAAAGTTCAGATTGTTATTCATTCAGCGCGTTTTTATAATGGTTTTTAAAACTACTACTTTTTTACTTTTTTAAAACTACTATTTTTTACTACTTACTCCAACTACAAAACCTACACTCACCTTAGACTCCTGTATTTTGTTAGATGCAGTGTTTTTCCTAATGCACTTCCAAAATGTCATGCCTGGTTTTCTCAAAGTACTATTGCGGGAAGTAACTCCTTTTAACTACTCCAGGTCAGGTCAGGATAATCAAGATCAATCTTGCTACTGGTATCATGCAACCCAGTACCACCTGCCACAAGCCCTGCTGCCTTGCAGAGTGAGCTCTTCTTAGGCAAAGGTTAGGAGAAATAAACTCTGACTAAAAATTCCCCTGCCTTGGGGCTCTTGGTTGAGTAAAGGCTAGAGATAGTGTCTCGATAAAAACACTGATCTTGGGCAGATGTTAACTGCATCCAGCTAAACATCCCCTGCCTTGGGGCTCTTGGTTGAGTAAAGGCTAGATATGGTGTCTCGATAAAAATACTCATCTTGGGCAGATGTTAACTGCATCCAGCTACTGTCTTGTAGAAGGCCTCCTAGGCAAAGACTTTAGGGGTAAGCAGAAAAATTCTGCTAACCAGCCTCAAACTTCTCCTTCATCTATTAGGCTAGCGTAGATGTAACCTGTGTTACATTGTTTCCTGCCTAGGATGATGAATGCTGGATCTCCTTGACTCTACGCATAGAATTTTGCTTATGCCTCCTTGATTATGGCTATGCAACTCTTCCTGTTATCTCCATATGAGGGTACAGCTCTAAAACTCAGTTTAATGGTTCTGAGGCCGGCTGGTAGTAAGGTTTCCCGAACTCTGTGGTAGCTCTCAGATAGGCTGATTCCATCAACAGCTGCAAAATATCAGAGTATTAACAGTGCCATGTTGCGCATGGATGGTGTCCCTGTTAATGCTTTTGGTGTGCATTGTCAAGGTCACATAAGGAGCCCTATGTCACGGCTTAGGGTTAATTAACAGGACTGAGTTAACTGCATAGCTCATTGATTAGGAGACTGTGCTCTATCTATGAATGAGTCAAGTTCTCATTAAACCCAAATCATGACCAAAGTAACCAAAAATTTAAAACTTAAAAATCCATCCCCACCACCTAAATATTTTAATATATCTTTTACAAATATTCGCGGTCTACGAAGCAACTTTCCATCAGTTGAGCCTTATCTCCTGCAAAATTCACCAGACTTGCTTGCACTCAGTGAAACAAATTTAAATTCTGCAATTCCTTCTTCAGATGTCAGTGTTGATGGGTACTATTCTTTGGTTTGTAAAGACTCCTGTATTCACATGCTAGGTTTAGGGGTATACATACGCATTAATTCTCCTATTTGTCGTGAAATCAGGTTCGAATCCTTTGACCATTCTTTTATGTGCTTTCGCCTAGCACCTTTCTCTTTGTTCTTTATCGTTCTCCTTCTTCCCATGATTGCACTCTTTTAGATGTTATCTCTGATCAAATTGACCATGCCCTCTCTCTTTACCCCTCTGCCAATATTGTTGTTGTTGGTGATTTTAATGCCCATCACACTGAATGGCTTGGCTCTAACACCACTGATCCTGCTAGCACTAAAGCCTTTAACTTCTGCGTTTCTTAATCTCTTACTCAGATAGTTATCTTTGTGACTCGTTTTCCTGACAACCCAAATCTTTTACCTTCACTCCTTGG